TTATTCATGGAACTTTGTTGGTTGTTTGAAACTCCAGGATGACTGGCTAAACCAGAACAGACAGTGGTAGGAGTGGCTCAATACCGAAGGGACAGCACAGTTTCACCACTTAAGCACTGTTGATTAGCAGACTGGAAGTAAACTGTGCTAGAGGTTTATTATTGGTTTAATCTTTTAGCTTGATTGTTTGTTTTCTACAGGTTTCTCTGAGTGGAACCTAGTTAGTTCCTTGAGGTACTAAGTTATTTACCTCCAGAGCTGCAAACGTCTGGAGAATCTGTACCCGAAACAGAAACTTTCTGTTTCCCTGAGACCACCTATAAATGCATGTATCTCAGGTACCTAAGCCAGCAATGGCATGTTCCAGAAGGATCTGGTTTTGACTGTTATTGGACACTGCAGACCACAATTTCGTTTGGTCTTTCCAAAAGTTCGTGGCCCTCTAGCATGTCTTTCCAGGCAAAGACACCTAACAGGTATGTCAATAAAACAGGTGGTTGGTCAAAATTCTGTGTTGGAGTTAAGGTTAAACGTGGAATGAAACTGCAAAATACACTTTTGAAACACAAAGAAACATACAGAGATGCTGTTATAAATGAGCAGCTATTTCTTTAAAATGCAGCTTTAAAGGATTGACTTTAAAGTCAGCTATTTTTAAAAGCAAAGTGGCTTTCTTTGTTGCCGTACTACTTATATTTGACCTAGATGGGAACACATTAATTGCATGTAATATGCTTGGAATGTGTGGAAAATAACATTTTTTCCATGTGAGTCAGCACAGGAAATGAACTGCAAATGAGTAAAATGTTGAGAAGTCTACAGACGCAGGTTTTTTTTTAAAATACGAAAAGTTTTTCAAGAGTAGAATACTGACATGATGTTTTCTTCAAGAGTAAAGTATTGCAGAGACTGAAGAAGAGCAAGAACTTGCTTCTGATCAGCATAGTTTGAGACTGTAATCTGATGCAACATTAATTTAATAGTTTCTATCTTTGCTGGTGCTAGGTAGTTTTGCCTCCCCTTATTGGACATTGCCAAAGCTTACCTCATTCTTGCCAACCACAGAAAATGGTAAATGACAAGAAGCAAACTCAGAAGTGTTCTGACTTGATTTTCTTTTCACAGTGATGTAAAATAAATAAACCAACATCTTCTAAATAATTATTTAGTGATACATACCACGAGATACTTTGATTTTCAAAGTTCTCCCTTGCTGGGGTTAGATATTTGAATAGTAATGAATACTACTAGTAAGACGAATGGGTTTCTAAGAGTCGTGCTGTGAGAGGATGTTCATGAGTGGATATATTTAGGGAAATATGTAACCCATCATGGAGCTGAAACCTCATCTTAAACTAACCAATGCATGGAGCTCACAGCAGCGGAACAGTGAGCAGCAGAAAGGAGTACAGAGTCTGCTCCAACATACTATTGATTTGCTCTGAAATTACATGAATTATTACTGCTTACTTCAGTATTAGAACTGATGATTTTATTGGAGTATTTGATGTTGCAAGAAGGCCCCATTAAGGTAAAATGATTCCTCCATGCAGTCCTCAGAGTTCCCTTGAGTCTGAAATTCAGTCCCTTATTTCATCTGGCAGAAAACTACTGCTTCTGTATCAAATTTTCCTTCTGTTTACGAAGGTGGAACTCTAGCCCCAGTCTATTACCAGTTAGTAGGAGCACTTCGACTGCTGTCTTTAATGTGAGATATGAAGCATACTATTAATACTGGTTTTCCTTTTTTGAAACCTAACCTAAAAGAAAATGCAAATTTTCTTTTGAATATATTGCATGGCAGTGTTGGATGCACAAAAAGCATTTGAATGAGTAAATTTGCATTATATTGATCCTAGCAAACATCTTCCTCTGAAAGCTGAATCCAGTTACATGTATTTGGCCTTTATCTTATGACTATACTTCTGTCAAATGAACAGGCACGCGTGCTGTATCCCAAAGGCAACCATTGGCTCATAGTGCCAGAAAATCAAGGAGAGATGATGCATGTTTTTTTTTCTAGGAAGATAATGTTTCATGTTGCTTTGCCTTAATTTTGTTCTGAAAGGAGAAGCACAGGGAGCCTGCTGCCTCTGCTCTGAGTGTCCTGTTCACTCTGAAGCTACAGACAGATTCTGCCATGCTCATGAGATTGAAGCCTGTACTGCACGTGCGTGCTATGCACAGTTCATCATGCTGTCATATACCAAACAGAGCTGCTTAGTTCATAGATCAGAGAACCATTTAAGGTGAACCTTGAATCATTCTTGGTGGCAAAGTTGAAACCATCTAAAGTCAAGCTGGGTTTTCCCCCAGTCTTCAAAACATGTATCTGTCTTTGCCTTTATTCTCATGAATAAGGAATTTAAAGCCATAGACTCTTAAATGTCATTGCCCACGAAAAATGCAAACAGAGAGAACGAATAGGCTCCATGTTGCAAGTGTAAATTCAGAGACACAGAATTGTATTTTTTTCAGCCTGCCTTTGGGAGCACTGACATGATTTCCTGAGAAGCTGTCTGCTTCGCTTCACCATCACTATGACCAACAATTGTACATCTTATATGAATTAATTGAGCTGCAAACAGTAACATCCTGATCTCCCATGCTACTTAAAATACAATATAGAGAAACCAGACATGACTGCAGTAAGGATCAGAGAGAGAGAATTGCAGGAATAGAGTAGACGTCTGCCTATGAGAATCAGGGCATCTAGACTCTAAGGCATTATAAGGTAAAACTCTTACATCTTTTCTGCCATACCTCCAAGCAGAGATAAGCTGGAGGAGGTCAGAGCAATTCACCTGACTCAGCCTGCTGCCAGACAAAATAGGTTACATCAGCTTCTTCAGCAATTATGAAAGGCTTCTTTCTCTAACGAAGTGGCTGAGATACAAAAGGGAAAAGGGAAGCCCTCAAAGGATAGAAAAGAACAGAAGAAGTCCAGAAGGCAGGTGGGGTTAAAGCTGGTGTTTTGAAGCTTATAGCTATGCTTCAGGACTTTCCTATCCCAGGTGGGACACAGATTGCCCAACAAAGGAGAAGGGCACGGGTATTTATGAACTGGAGTTACTCCCTACAAAGTTTACTGCCAGTAATAATCTGTCTTGAGCAGCAGTGTTTTGAAACAGTGTTGCTGAGTTGTGCAGATTTGTGATGACATTAATCTCCATACAACTCCATGAGAAGCTGCCAGAAATGTGAAGGACTTACATTTGCAGTATATATTTGTGAAACTAAGCTTTGATAGAACGTCCATCCACATTACAGAAGGAGACAAGTTCTGGGTCTGCTTCCATACACAAAGTTATTCCAACTAACCTGTCTTCCAGACTTTCTTTCAGTCTCTGGACTATGAACTTGCCTGAGACCTATGCTTTACTACTCCTCTCTTTGACTTGTTTTAACAGCTAAAGTAGAAAAAACCTTAAAAGACTGGAAAATGACACCAAAAATCTGAGATCAAAACTCTTGTTTCGCTGGATTCAGTAGACCTGTGGTGCAGAGAGAATGAAATCAGGCCTCATGTCTTTAATTCTTTAATTTATGGAAGCAGGATTGCCTTGCATCACATTTAATGTTCTGCAGACAGCTGCCTTTTCCACAGAACATGAGTTCCACACACAAGTGGGGAACACTGAGCACCCTTATGTGGAAAAAAAGGCACCATTGTCTGAAAAAGGTTGAGCAATCCTATCAGCATTTTTCAAGAACTTAGCATACTGTTACCTGAAAGGCAGTGACTTGATGCCAAGGGACATGAGTTTCTTATAGTAAGCTAGAGAGACAATAGTTTGTACTCAAAGACCTGCATTACTTCTACATGAAGCTAAAACAGTGTCTTACTCCTTGTCCTGTCTAAAAACCTGGAAATTGTGTCGCTCGCTTTCACACTGGTATGCTGCCACCGAATTCATTCCTGATCTCCTGTCCTGGGACAACTAGATGATAAGTAGCGAAAAGACCAATTCATGCACGTAACAAGCTAGCCTCAATGATGTTAATTTCTAGGACCAGACTTCTGAATACAACTCCTGCAGCTTCCTACAGAGGTGACCATGCATGTTCTATACCTGCAGCGATGTGCCACCACTTCTTTCCTGATCTCCCCTTGTACATAGATAATCTGCAGCATGAAGGCTGGCTTTTTAGGCCTTCACACTGCACTGAAAATTGTCTTACAAACAGGACTCAGCGTGGAGTTATTCTTTGCACAATGAAGAGAATAATAAATTGTTAGCTCTGTCTTCTATTTCTGTCAGTCAGTCAGTCAGTCCCATGGACAGTTTCTGAGAGAAGACAGGGCGATCTTTCAAAGTCATAAAGTTTGTGTGAGGTTTTGTGAGTAGCTGGGATCAGGTAGAAGAATCCCAAGAAAGTCTGTAGTGTAAATTCAGCTATTTGTTCTGTTGACCTGGCGTCCCAAAGCATGTGTCCTAGACAGCCAACACACACACACACAAGCAGCTCTAGGCCTACTACCCAGCAGATGTTACTTCTTGCCCATTTGTCACTTAAGAGAGATGTGAGGCAGCTAGAGGAGGTGGGCATGGTCACCACAGTGAATGGGAACTGGGGCCACTGCAAGGTGTGGGGGCAGACACAAAGAACAAGGGAGTTAAAATTACTGCTGTGGAAAAGAGTAAGGATAGCAGACACAAATTTGCAAGATAGATTCTGCTGTTTCTAGTGTAGCATACAACAGAGTTTGTGCTTGGTGCTCAATATAACCTGAACAAGAGAGGAGTTGGACTCTAGTTGAAACCCTCACCTGTAATTTGTGATAACGATATGTGTCTGTAAGGCAAGAGATCTGTAAGGCACGAGATCTGTCAACAAACATAGAACTTGTACTAGCCTGTGACAGCTGTGACCTAAGTCCACATCCCTTTTGCATGAATATTTTCAAGTAGACCACTGGGCTCATGTAAGTTATTGAAAAGTCATCCTGCAAATTCTATCATGGACGCCCATGCAGATTAAAAAAATAATTTTCTTACCAACAATCATGTGGTTGCAGACATCGCAGAAGGTGGGTTTTTTGAAGATATGCTCCTGGAAGATGTGAGCCTTGTTGTTTTCTGACAGCTGCTGGGCTCTGGTGGGGGAGGATGCCTGGCTGTCTGAGCTGGGGAGCTGCCCGGTGCTTGTGCTGACTTCAGGCATCAAGTCTACTTGCAGTTTCACGTCACTATTAGTCCTCTGGAAGAAATTGTCTGCACTTTTACTCCGCAAGCTTTTGGTCTTGAAGGAGAGTGATCGTTTCAGTTTCTGCAGCTGTAACAAAAAAAGCCAGTTACAATTACTGCCTTTTCCTCTTCAACATCAAGGCAGGGCTCCTGGTTTTGGGGTGTGCTGTTGCCGAGTGAACCTGGGAGCCACTGGCAAACCTTGAACCACCTGAACAATAAAATTTACTTTAGAATTTAACCACCAGTTTCACAGCAAAGAAAACAGATCCCAGTCAGAAAATAAACTACTCTACATATGCTTTCTGATAGACAATAAACTTGATAGCCCTAAGGAATGCTTCTGTTGGTCTTTTCTTTCAGGTATGACAGCAAAGAGTTACTGCAGAGAGTAGCACGCACTGGATAATGTATCCTTTGTATTCACACATGAGAGAACTTAGAGTATTTTTCATCCTCACATGGTCCTTAAGCAGCCTGTAAAGCCATTTCACGAACAGCTGTTAAATGGCAGCACATGAACAGCGAATTCAGTAATTATATTTTATATACTTAAATTTCTTGAATTTAGCAGAAACAGAAATTATATACAGTTTTGACTGAGAACAACTTGTTTTCTTTCATTTTTTTAAAGGAAAGAAGGCTAAGGAGCAGAAACAATATAATTTACCAGCTAATTAATAGTTAATGCATGAATTAATTAATACTAGTTAACACACATTCACATATATTCTCATCTAGTGTATTGTCAGACTATTAAGCACCACAGTAAGGCATTATTTACTTAAATTTATTAACTCAAACTCTTTACCTGGAAGCTGTCTCATACCTTATGAGAGCTCCTCTCACCCTTCACCCCCTGAATTTTATATAAGGCTGAGAAGCGCGCTAGGTGAGGTGCAGAAGCCATCAGGATATCAGCTACACAAATTTCTGGGTTTGTCAACTCCAACGGCCCACAGGGAGAGCCCAAGTAAAAGGAAAGCCAGCTCTGTGTCCACTTCATTTTTGCGTCCACTTCATCACTTCAATCACTGCTGCAATTCTCTGGGTGAACGTGATATAACAACTGAGATTTTC